AGGAGAGAGGGAGTGATGGGGAAAGAAAGATGGAGAGAGGGAGAGATGGATATATATATATATATATATATATATAGAGAGAGAGAGAGAGAGAGAGAGAGAGATAGGGAGGGAGGGAAAGAGGAGAGAAAGATGGAGATATATATAGAGAAAGATGGAGAGAAGGAGGGATGGAGGGAGGTGGAGAGGGATACACACACATACTTATATATATATAGTGAGAGGGAGGGAAGGAGGGAAGGAGGGAAAGAGGAGAGAGAGATGGAAGTGGGAGGGAGCAGAGAGAGGGAGAAACATGTATATATAGAGGGGAGAGAGAAAGATGGAGAGGGAGAAAGATGGAGGGAGGTGGAGAGAGATACACACACACATAGAGAGAGAGAAGGAGGGAGGGAAAGAGGAGAGAGAGATGGAAGAGGTGGAGAGAGCAGAGAGAGGGAGAAAGATGGAGATATATACAGAGGGGAGAAAGGTGGAGAGAAGGAGGGATGGAGGGAGGTGGAGAAGGATACACACACATACATATATATATATATATAGTAAGAGAGAGAGAGAGAGAGAGAGAGAGAGAGAGAGAGGAAGTTGCGAGTTTGACACCCCTGACTTAGTTGCTCTTCTCGGCGTTTTTTCCCCAAAGTCTCAACCTCTTTTTTGCGACATGGGGGACCAAACGTGGATGCAGGCATTCCAGGAAGTGGCCCCCTTACCAAGGCTTTACACAGCGGTGCTAATAACTTCCCGCGGTTTTGATTCCGTGCCTCGGTGATTGTTAGCTTTTTCGGCTAACACGGCCAGCTCCCGTTGAAGGGATCCGTCCACTAGGCTTCTTGCACGCCCCCCCTTGATCTCTGCTTTTCCCCCGGACAGGCAACGCCAACGTCTGCAGCCCGGAGCAGTACAAGGAATGTGCGGACCCCGCCCTGGGTGAGCCGGGACCCCCTCCTCTCGCCCTCCGGGGACGGGGAGGGTGTGGGGTGGGGGCTTGTTGTGAGCAACTCTGCTCTCCCCCCCCTTTGCTCCAGAGTTCTTGGTGGAGAAGGACAACGACTTCTGCTCCTGCCTGATGCCCTGCGAGGCGGTGCGCTACAGCAAGGAGCTCTCGGTGGTCAAGATCCCCAGCAAGGCCTCCGCCAAGTATCTTGCCCGGAAGTACAACCGGAGCGAGCAGTACATTGCGTGAGTGCCCCCCGCCTTGTGAGTCCACGCGCACGAGGGACCGAGCCCCACGCCCGTCACCCCTGCTGTTGTCCCGCCACGGACCCGCGCGGCCCACCAAGGGTGGGGGCGCTGACCAAAGAGAAACTCACTATAGCAGGGGGTCCCCAACCCCTGGGCTGCAGCCCACTACCGGGACGCAGAAGTAGGCGTCTTCACATACGCCGGCAGCGGGCAAGCCCCTGCGCGTGCCTGCCGCTTGCGCAAATGGAGCTGCACATCCACGTCCACCCCTCGCTCAAATGGAGCTGCACACATGTGCCTGCCGCTCGCACAACTGGAGCTGCACACACGTGTCCACCACTCGCTCAAGTGGAGCTACATACACACACACGTGCTTACCGCTCGCGCAAAGGGAGCTGCACATGTGTGCTCACCTCTTGCGCGAAGGGAGCTGCATGTGCCTGCTGCTTGTGCAAATGGAGCTGCGCCACTCGCTCAAATGGAACTGCACACACACATGTCCACCACTCGCTCAAAGGGAGCTACACACGGCTGCCTGCTGCTCCTGCAAATGGAGCTGTGCCACCTGCGCGAATGGAGCTGCACACGCATGTCGGCTGCTTGTGCGAATGCAGCTGCGCACACGTGCCTGCCGCTCGCACAAGTGGAGCTGCACCACTCACTCAAATGGAGCTGCACACACACGTCCACCACTCGCGCAAATGCAGCTGCACACATACATCCACCACTCGCTCAAAGGGAGCTGCACACACGTGCCTGCCACTCACGCAAGTGGAGCTGCACACACATGTCCACCGCTCACTCAAATGGAGCTGCACACACCTGCCTGCCGCTCACGCAAGTGGAGCTGTGCCACTTGCGCAAAGAGAGCTGCACACACACGTCCGCCCCTCGCTCAAAGGGAGCTGCACACACGTGCCTGCCACTCATGCAAGTGGAGCTGCACACACATGTCCACCGCTCGCTCAAATGGAGCTGCACACACATGCCTGCCGCTCGTGCAAATGGAGCTGCACATGTGTGCCTGCCGCTTGCGCGAATGGAGCTACACACACACATCCACCCCTCGCTCAAATGCACCTGCACACACGTGCCTGCCGCTCGCACAAGTGGAGCTGCGCCACTCACGCAAATGGAGCCGCACACGCGTGCCCACCGCTCGCGTGAACCCGTCCCCTCTCCCTCCCCGGTTCGCAAGCCGGAGAGGGTCAGGGGACTCTGCGCTCCGGCACGGAAGGACAACTCCCAAGGGAAGCCAGGGGTGGCCCCCTGCCCTGCGTCAACGCGGCGGGTGACCCTCTGCCCTCGGTCCCCAGGGAGAATCTGCTGGTGCTGGACATCTTCTTTGAAGCCCTGAACTACGAGACCATCGAGCAGAAGAAGGCCTACGAGGTGGCCGGCCTGCTGGGTGAGTGGACGTCCGGCTTTGGCGCGGAGAGGATCTTCAACCTGTGGCTGGCTGACCCGATGCACAAAACCCCGTGGGTCTCCCTCCTGGCAGATTTCGGCCGGGCCCGGCCTCACTAGGGTCTCCCCCGGCCCGTTCCCCGGTTGTCTTCCTCCTTGGCTGTCTGCCGACGCTCTTTGACGGGGCCCGCTTTGTTTTTCCAGGGGACATTGGGGGCCAAATGGGCCTGTTCATCGGGGCCAGCCTGCTCACCCTCCTGGAGATCTTTGACTACCTGTATGAGGTAAGTGTCACCGGGGGTGGAGCGGCGTGGCCCTCTTCCCGGCTCCCGAACGCAGCTGGCAGTGCCTGGGCAGGACTCTTGTTCCGGCCCTCCTTCTTCCCGCCCGGAAAAGAAGTAGGGGCGGAGGACCTGGTCCCACCTGCTCCGGGATGGGCTTTGGGGTCCTCCGTGCCCACCTGAGCCTGGCACCGTGCCCTACCCTCCGCACGGCTTCCGCCAGCCCTTTCTCCTCTTCCCGACCAGGTGCTGCGCGACAAGCTCTCCAGTTACTACCAGGGCCGGAAGGAGGCTCAGCACAGCAACAGCGACAACCTGGTAGGTGACACCCCACTCCCTGCTGTCCCCCACACAACCTGGGCACTGAGACCCCCTCTCCCTCCTCCTGACAACCAGTAGGGAGCTTGGGACACAATTGGGGGGGTCCCTAAGACAGCCCCCAGCAGCATCAGGGAGGTTTGGGGGGACGGCATCCATGAAGTTCTTCCAGAGGCGTTGGGCGCGTGCTCCGAAAGGCCCTCGTCCCTTTTTTCACCGCCCGTGTCCTCCAGCAGCGCCCTTGTCGCGGGGTCTCGCCTCATTGCCGTTTCTCCGTCCCCGCCCCTCCCTTTCTCTCCCCCCTCCCCACTTTCACCTTCCCATCGCCGCCCCTCTTCTCTCCCCCCTGCTTCCATTTGGCATCTCACCTGCGCCAGGAGTACGTGGACCTCCCCCGCGGTCAGCTGCCCCCGCCGCCCAGGTAGCGGTCTTCTCCCCCTCACCCCCTCCCTCCCCCTCCCGATCCCCAGCCCCGGAGGGAGGGAAGGGAGGGGCGGACCCAAGCCCGGGAGAGCACCGCGACCCGCGCCCGCCCGTCGACTCCCCTAATACCCCTCTTTTTCTCTCCCCCCTCCGCCGCAGAGTGCCTGCCATCCGCTGCGCGGCCACTCGGACAGCATCGTGGTCAGCTACCCCGCGGGTGGGCTACCTTGTCACGCCACTCTAACCAGCTTCGAGGAGTTTGCCTGCTGAAGACCCCCCCAACACCCGAGGACAGACCCCTGGCCGGCTCCGGGCAGCCGCCTGCAGGAAGGAAGGGCTGCGGGGAGGACACCTCTGGCATCGTCGCAGGTGGAAGTCCACCTGGCACTTGCGGGGAGATGGCTGGACTCCGGGGTTCCTCAGCAGCCGTGGACGCCCCCTCCCCAATATCTGACTGTTGTGTCCGTCTGTCATTAAAGGGTCTCCGTGGGAACAGAGCGTGTGCTTGTCCGAAAGACGTTAAATGGGGCACGGGGGGAGCTCTAGGAAGAGTAGCCCCCGGGGGCGAGTTGATGGGGATCCCTGCCTCTCCGCCCCCTTGCGATTTAGGCCTGGTGAGCCAAAGGGGGAGGGGGGAGCGAGGGAGGAGAGAAGAGCCCCCTCCCCCTTCCAGGCCGCGGTGGCTGCAGGTGAGGAAAAGACCACAGAAGGGAGGAGGAGAGAAAGCAGCAACTTTTATGGAATCGGCAGCGCGTCACACTGACGACAAAAACTCACAGCTCGGATCGGGCGGCTGGTCCCGGAGAAGAAGGATTTGGCCCAAAAAGGATTGGGGAGGGGGGGAGGAGGGGGGAGGGGAGGTGCCAGGTGGACCACCCCCTTCCACTGGCACTCCACCGCTGCGTCCAGTGGACCGTCAGGGGGGGCAGAAGTCCGTGAAGTAGGGGTGCTGCAGGGCGTCCTCGGCCGAGATCCGGTGCATCGGGTTGCATTTCAACAGGTTCTGCAAAGGCAAGGGGAGCAGGGACCATCAAAACGGGGGAGAGGGGTGGCACGGGGGGGGCGGAGGGAGGGGCCAGTGAGGGGGAGGGCAGCTCACCTGCAAAAGGTCCCGGCCGGTCGTGTTCAACTTTGGCACCACGTTGACCAGCGAAGTCGTGGCGGGGTACATGGGGTAGGGCTGAGGAGGAGCGGGCAGGGTGAGGGGTCAGAGGTCAGCTGAAGCCCACCCTTCTCCTGGCACTGCCCCACGTCCCAAACCACTCCTCCCGTGGGGGGGGAACCTCCTGACCTTATAATCGGGGAGCTTCGTCATGCCCGGCCACTGCTCCTCGGTCGGGGTGCCCAGCAGCGTGGACGAGTAAAGGATCGGGTGGAGTCTTCGCCTGTCTTGCCTCCCCCCCTGTGCCCCACTCCCAATTATGCTGTTCCCTCCCCAGCACCGCCCTCCTGGCACTGCCACTTCGCCCCCCCCCTCAGCCGCAAGGATATCGGAAGATGCGCTTCAGTTGGTCGTCCACGTCGTTGCCCGGAAAGAGGGGGCGTCCCGCGTTGGCCAGCTCTGGAGAGGGGGGAGAGTCAGACCCCCAAAACAGACACACATCTTTCCCAAACTGGAGCCCACCCCCCTTTTCCACACCCCCGAACCTCAGCCTGACCTGCAAAAATGCAGCCGGCCGACCACATGTCAATGGAGGTGGAGTAGAGCTTGGCCCCGAAAAGGACGTCGGGGGGGCGGTACCAGAGGGTCACCACCTGTGGGGAGACACCCCCCCCAAACTGGAGGTCAGGGAGCAGCAGAGCCCCCCCTTTTCTCCTAAACTGGGGCAGAGAATAGAGTCCACCCTCCCCAAAGAACGATACTGCACGGAGGCCAGGAACGGACGGTTCCGTGGAAGTGTCCGTCGTCCCCCCCCCTCCCACCGCCCCGGAACAAACCATTCCTGGATGGGCATCCTGACAGGAGAAAGCGGGCCGGCCAATTGTGCCTGCGAGGGGGGGTGTTGTTGCAGAGAAGGGACGCCCCCCTCCCTTCTCTGCCCAGGGGCTCGGCTCACCTCTGCCGAATAACAGCGTACCGGGATGCCGAAAGCCCGCGCCAGTCCGAAGTCCGCCAGCTTCAGCTCCCCATTCTGCCCCCCCCAAGGCAAGACAGGAAGTCACGAAGGGAAGAAGCTACCGGGATTAGAGGCACCTAGGGGGGCTCCTTCTGGCTCACCATAGGGGAGGAACGACACCCCCCCAGGTGCCGAGCAATTTGGGTACGTGGGAGAAGCGTCGGCACAAGACCGGCGCACCCCGGGTGCTTTTCTCCCCCTTTTTGGTGGGGTTCCTGCCAGGAAAAGCGTCGGTAGTCCCCCAAATTGGGCTGGGGGGGAGGAGCAGAGGGAGGTGGGTGAAAAACCTCCGGATTTGGGTGCTAATTCTGCCACCACCACCTAGATGCAGAGTCCCGCCCCCGCCCCGGTGGCCTCGTTTGCCCGTATGCCACAACCGATGGCAGCTGTGCGTGCATCTGGGGCCCGGGGGGGGCAACGGTGGCGCCCATCGCTCAGCCGCCTGGCGCTCTTCGTCACGGGAGATGGAGAAGGAGACCCCCCCTTTGGACTTACCCGGTTGATGAGCAGATTCTGAGGCTTCAAGTCGCGGTGCAGGACGTTACGGCTGTGGCAGAAGCCCAGGCCTTTCAGCAGCTGGTACATGAAGGACTGGGGGGGGGCAGAGATGGGGGGGGCGTGCCCATCAGCCAGCCTGCCAATTGCACCGTGCCCCACAAGAGCCGAAATGTCCTATCCCGGACGATAACCCCCCAGCTCACCTTCACAATCTCGGCGTCCAGGTCGCCGTTGCAGCTGTCGAAATACTTCTTCAGGTCCTGCGGGAGGGGGGGCGTTGCACCGAGGGGCAGGGTCAGCAGAGGGGGGGGTCAGCAGCCCCCCCAGACTTCTATGGGGGGGCAAAATCTCCCCACTTCCCCCCTCCCTCCATTTCAAGTAGCCCCAACAAGGATCTCAGGAGGGAGAAGGGCAAGAAAAGGGGACAGGCCAAAGGGGCAGAATTTAGGGGGGGGTCACAAGGGTGCAGTTCCTCCCCACCCCACCCCCCGTGCGGGACAGGAAGAGGGAGCAAAAGTACAGGAAGTCCTCGCCTTACGACAGTCACAATACAAGTTACAAAAAGGACACGCGCCCGTTTTTCGGAGCTACGACTTTTCTGCTCTCTCGACGGCTACGGCGTCAAACACTCAGCGGCTCGGCCGCCGGTTTCTTTTTTTACGACCGTTGCTGTGTCCCGCGCCCCCCCCTTTTTTTGGGGGGGACAGTCTGATCGGCAGGAAGCCAGGCTCATTTAACAAACCGGGGCGTTCGCTTAGCGACCGCATGGATTCTCTTGAACCCGGGTGTCGAGAAAGGTCGCCGAAAGGGGCCAAGCCCGCTTCGCACATGTCCCACTTAGGAACGTACGTGTTGGCTGAGTTGCGGTCGTTAAGTCGAGGACTCCCTGTAGTGTGTGACCATGAGTGGCCATTGATACCCCCCCCTTTGTCTTTCCTCCCCCCTGCGCCTTTGGGGTGGGAGGCTGAGAGCGGGGGGGGAGACAAAAAGCCTCCCCGAGACGGCCAGGGGGATACAGGACAGTGGGGAGAGTGGGGAGCACAGGGGGGGCAATTGGGGTAGGGCACCAACTGCGGAAGAGGGGGCGACTGGGGGGGGCTCTTATGGCCCGCCCCCAGCCGGAGAACCCTGGCGTCCAGCCCGCCAATCTGGGGGCAGACTTGGGGGCGTCTCTGCTCACGCGCCCGGAAAATTGAGGGCGGGACCCCTTTTGTCGCCTTACTTGGTCGCAGAACTCGAAGACCAACGTCAGCTTCTTGTCGCTGTGCAGGACGTCGTGCAACCTGAAAGGGGAGGGGGACAGTCTGGGCAGGGGGGTCTCCCCCGGCAGTCAGCCCCGCCCCCTCCTCACCGGCTGTATGGGGGGGACCCCTACAAAGCAGCGGGGGGGGCCCTGACACTCCCAGAGGCCCGCCCGTCTTCTAACCGGCCTCGCGTCCCCTCCCTCCAAGAAAGCAAGGCGAGCTTTGGACCCCCGCCCGGTGGTGGGGGGCACAAGGTCCAAGAGGATAGAGACCCCCACCCACCCACACGCGCACAGACACGCACACACACACACACACACACACCCTGCCCGGAAGGCTCTGTTTCTGTCTGGGGGGGCTACGACGGCGGCTCCCGATCCTGTGGGGCCGAAACCTCGCTCCCCTTCACCCCCAAAGCGTGTGTGTGGAGGGGTACCCCGCGGAGCCCCCTCCCCAGCCCCCCCCGGAGACGGACCGCACAATGTTCTTGTGTTTGAGCTCCTTCAGCAGGCAGATCTCCCGCAGGGCCGAGCTGGGGACCCCCTAGGAGAAAGAGAGGGAGGGGAGGGTTAGGGGGGGCTGCAGGCGGAGGAGGAGACCCCCTCCCCAAAATCCCTCCGGGATGCGGCTGACGGATGGAAGGAGATGGGATGTGTGCGTGTGTAGGGGGGGGAGAAGCATCCTGCGCAGCCCCCCTTGCACCAGAAAAAAGGGGGGCAGCCCAGCACTGCAGAAGCAGGGAAGCCCCCTCCCCTAATTCTTGTCCCCCCTCCCTCCCCTCCCCCTGGGGAGGGGGTCTCACCTCGTCGTCGTCATCCAGTCGGACCCGCTTGAGCGCCACGATCTCGTGGGTCTCCCGGTTCTTGGCTTTGAAGACGGTCCCGTAGGTGCCTGGTTGGGGGGGGGGAGAGGGGAGAAGAATTGGGGAGACCCCTCCCCTGAAGACCCCACCCCACCCCGCTGCAGGAAAGGAGGGAGGGAGGGATGGGGGGGCCTTGCGCTAGGCAGGGTGGAGGGGGGGTCTCTCCCCCTCCGGGCTGGGAATCCCACCCACCCCCACTCCACCCAAGCCCCCCAC